AGTGCAAATCCGTGAATGAATGTTCCGAAGTGAAATAAACGTCAACTGAATAAAGTTGAATGGAATAGAATTGAAATAAAGTTGAATAAACTTCAACTTTACTGTTCAGTGCACTGATGTCAGACTAATTGTGGATAATAAAGTTTATCGTTAAATTGTTAAATAACCTGCCTCCATTACATATCTTTGTCACGTCATTATAAATGTTTGATCACCACATTTGAGTGATCATTGCAAAAAATGTGTTTATGTATATATATATTCTGTTTATGTATATACTGTATTCTATACAGAATACCATTTAAAAGTTTGGACGCACGAATGGGAAAGTGTCCAAACTTTTGACTGGTACTGTACTATAATATACACAGAATATCGGCCGATATATCAATATCGACCTTTTTTACTCCCTAATATCGGTATCGGCCCCCAAAAAACCTATATCGGTCGGGCTCTAATTCCTACCCATATAACAGCGCCACCAATGTAAAGTCATCACTGTTACTAGACAGGTCTCTCTACACGCTAAAAAATATCTCTACAAAATACATATGAATTTTTCATTTTTCTGTTGTGAGATACGAGGTTGTTAATCTATGGCATATGCTTTTGTTGAAGCCCATAAAGCATCACAAATGATGTAATCGAGTCAGTCTCCCTTAATACTTAAATATTTGCATATATATATGCATATTTTGCAATAAACCAAAAATATTTTTTTCTATAATCATTATCTTTAAATAGTTTTCTATTTCTCCATTGATTCTAATTTGATTGTCATTTGCAATGTTTTATGCGATTGTAGTTCCTTCCCTAAAGCCCTTTTTACTCCCTAATATCGGTATCGGCCCCCAAAAAACCTATATCGGTCGGGCTCTAATTCCTACCCATATAACAGCGCCACCAATGTAAAGTCATCACTGTTACTAGACAGGTCTCTCTACACGCTAAAAAATATCTCTACAAAATACATATGAATTTTTCATTTTTCTGTTGTGAGGAGGGAGGTTGTTAATCTATGGCATATGCTTTTGTTGAAGCCCATAAAGCATCACAAATGATGTAATCGAGTCAGTCTCCCTTAATACTTAAATATTTGCATATATATGCATATTTTGCAATAAACCAAAAATATTTTTTTCTATAATCATTATCTTTAAATTAATAGTTTTCTATTTCTCCATTGATTCTAATTTGATTGTCATTTGCAATGTTTTATGCGATTGTAGTTCCTTCCCTCACTAAAGCCCTTATGTCACAGTCTTGAACCTTTGTTGTTTTGCCCAATTTTCAAATATTTTTTGCTCCAAATCAAGGTTTATAATGTTGTGATTATGTTAGGTTAGTTCACGGCTTAAGTTTTAACAAAAACCTTTTTAAAATCCCAATGGGAAAGATGAATAGAAAAAATACTTCCAGAACTAATGCCGCTGAAAATGTGAATGACGAGTAGTGTGATGAGTGTACTTACAGTCAGTGAGACCAGCGATCCCAGCAAGGGATGTGATGGGCACATGTGGCATGTCCCCATTCATACTGACGGCTGGGCACAGAAGTCTTACGCACACAGAGTTCCAAAGAGATATTTATACACTGACCATCCCTCACATCTCACTCAATCCTAGGGGGGGGGAAAAAAGTGCTTGAATGAGGTTGTGACATGGGATGTTGTTTAACATGCTTCATTTGTTTGTTATGGAGTCTTAACAACAATTTTGTGAATAGATCAACATAAATCATGCACTTGCTCCAAAACAGACACTACGCCTTCTGGCAGAATCCACTCAGACGTACTGTCTGTAACAGGTGTATTGATTTCTGTGTACACTAACTGCCACGTAGAGGAGCATTATGTGAGACCGATAACATCTACAACAGTGCAGACAACCTGACGGACACACCCACTCTGGACGGACAGATGATGGACCATGGACACACTCCTCATAAGATATGCAAGCCCAACCCTGTCTCTCTCAGGGGGCCAATGACAGCAGATGCAAAGAAGCAGAGTAGCAGACCTCACATAATCAAACAAGAACACATTTTACACACATTCAAAACAACATACTACATCAATGCTCAGAAGACAACAAGTAAGCAATGTGTATTTGTGTTTAAATGCATTTCAAATTATAAATAAAACTCTTCTATGACATCAAAAGAAAATTCTGCATACATTTCCGCATCCGGGCTATTTAGGGCGCATTAATATTCATGACTCATTTGCATGCGAAACTGCATTCGGAAGGTAAACAGTCCAGTGATGAGCTCTGACGGGCAGATTACCGATGCCAACCGGGGTATTTCTGTTACACTGGCCCTTTAAATACCAATACTTCACTTATTTATATTCATGAATTCATTCCGATCACTTGCATGCAGGTTTTATGACAACTCAGCAGCGACATTCACATAATGCATTATTTTATAATCAAACCTTTTGTCGTTAGAAATTAAAATTCAACAATCAGGAACGATTTCAACATCTACAGCAATAACACGTTTATATTTCTTACCGAAAACACGGTGAAAGCGGCTTTCAATTGGCTTAAGTTCTGAATGCAATTATCTGCTAAATGTATAGTATTATTCTCTAAATCGTTAATGCAAAATGCTATTAAAGGATGTGGCAGGTCATACAATGGAGTGAAGCATCACATCTGTGCAAACAGGGTAACACAAAATGACCAAAAACACAGTGTTGACAAGTCGATCACCAGAGAGAGGAACCATTCATCCTCAAAGCGTTTCACTGACGTTTATTCAGCCGTAATGACTCAAAACATGGCTAACACAGCAAAGTTATGAACAACAGATTGTAAATATTTACCATAACAAGCATTCAAGCCGCTCGTGGGTTATCGAGAGATGCTTAGAGATGATTTCGACTATTAGCAAAGCGTTAGCTCGGGACTTAATAGATTCCTTGCAGTGGCTCGCTAGTTAGCATTGCTCTAATCTGATATGTGAATTCTTACAGAAACCCGAGCCGCTTGCGTTCCTACTTATTTAACTAACAATTTTAGTTATCTTACATACAATTTTCTGTGAATAGTTCAGTCATTTAGTCTTATTAAACGATAGCCGCCGCTATGCTAAACGCTCGCGAAAGCTAGTTCGGCTACGCACATCTTTCTATCTCCGTTCGCGAACAATAAAAACACTTTTCGCTTTCCACCGTTCTCTCCTCGCACTGTGCGTCAGGCGACGAAACGTTTTCGGTCTGTGTATAATATAGCCGTGTATAATCCGTTTGAGTTCCCACACAAAAACATTCGCCCGTGTTTGTGTCGCGAGGCCTCCGCGAGCTCCCCAGAAGCCTCGGACTCTACGCACGAGCGCGACGCCGCGTCACGCGCTTCCCGCCACGGGGGCGCGCCGGAGGAGAACGACTAGCCGAGCCGTTGCGCCGTTGGTCTCCTCAGAGCCGTTCCGTCGAGGAAAAAACGAAATGGAAATGTGGTAAGGGACCGCGAAGACGGCTTTAGGAGAAATTGTGACAGGGTTTCATATTTACCTTAGCTTGGGGTAACTTCAAAGAAGAAAAAATAAGGGGACTGTTGTTGGGATGAGAGGTTGGTTGTCGGTCTGCTGTAAGTCTCTGGCTCCCCCTTTCTGCTATAAAAAGATCAGCGCGGGCTAGCGGGGTTTGTTTAGCCGAGCCAGCTAACAACAAGCCAACTCTATCTTTATCTGGGGTGGGGGAGGTCAGGCTTTCTCTCATCACACTTTAAATACATTTCATAATTGAGTCGAGTTTAATTCAGCTCCTCATTAACTTAACTCATAGCGTCAATGTTCGCAAAACACATTTGCTCACGTCTTTGTTTGCCAACAAAAAGCCCCACAATTGATGCTTTGTCGCTAGTCAGAGGGAATTGTAGGTTGACCGGAAATACAAATACTAATAAGGTGATTATTTTCCAGCAGACACAGATATGCTGCTGTCGATTTCCAGTCTTTTTTTACATCAGGTACGAACAACACGTACAACTAAATTCTTATTCAAGATATTTTTATTCTAGATTTTTTTTATTGGTTGACATCCACATCATTACATATCATGTAATAGTGTTATTCACAATATTATTTATAATCAATACACATACGTCAAACATACGTATGCATGCATTTATAATATATATTAATGTATAATTCTATTCTTTCATATACATTACATTAATATGCATCGTACTTTCAAGTTCATTTCATTTCTATAGCACATTTACAACAGCCACTAGGCTGACCAAAGTGCTTTACATAAGAGAAAATGATAAAAAAAAACATACACAGAAAGCAAACCAGATAAAAAATAACACAACCCGTACTTCATGCATTTATGCATGTATATGTTATGCATGTGTATATATACACACAAAGTATGGTGAATATTAATTCTAAAGAACATTGTGAATAGCGCTATTACATTCAATTCAAGTTTATTTGTACAGCGCTTTTCACGATACAAATCATTGCAAAGCAACTTTACAGCAAATTAAGTTTCTACAATATTTAGTGGTATCTTATCAGTGGTGACTGTCAGTTAATGTACATATGGCAGAAATGTACGGAAAAATCAATTTAAGACGTAATAAAACAGACGATGAACACTATTAACAGCAATTATTATATGATGCAATCAAACTTATAGCTAAATGTGGTAGTTCTGTATGTGGTTTCAGGGTTGGCATCATCTGAGGTCCTCTGAGGGGTTGGCATCATCTCTTCTCATGTGTTCTGGATCCAGACTGAAGCTTGTGTAAATCCTAGTTACGGCAAAAACAGAGAAACAAATAGAGACATAATTAGCGTAGCTGCTGTTCCAACCAAGCAAAAAAATTTTGTTTAACCCAAACTAAAATTTGCTGTAGTGTGTCAGTAGGAAATAACAGTTTACATTTCCAAACATTCCTTTTGCCATTAATTGTAATAATCCAGTGAGATTTTTGTATGCACAAGGAGTCTGACAACAGCCAGAGATCAGATCTCACCATCATCCAGTCCATCTGGGATTACATGAAGAAACAGAAAAAACTCAGGCAAACTAAATCCAGAAGAACTGTGGCAACACCTCCAAGAGACTTCAGGAAACCTTCATGCAAAGCTCCTTTAGCAGTTTCAATATTCTTGTAGGAACTTCTGGGTATTAACTTGACCTAGAGCCCTGTCCTTTGAGCCTTTCTGTAGTTTCACTTCTCACCACTGGATGGCGACTTAGTATAACGATTAAGGTCAGCGGCCACACCTGTAGATTATTAACGACTTTCTTTGGATTTATGTGTCATCTAAAGAGAAATAATTCTGTGTAGCTATATGAAATATATGAGCGATAATACTGTGACTTCCATTAACCATTAAATGTCATATATATACCAATGGTATTCAAGTCAAAACTAAAAACCATTAGTTTTTGTGTAAGTCACTTTGGATGAAATCATCTAAAAAATGCATAAAGTAAATGTTAGGCTATATTTTAAAATCGACAATTGCTTCTTTTTCTTTTTCCTCTTTCTTTACCATGTCTGTGTAAAGTATTTTGTTATATACAGTACAGTATGCAGTGACATTCATACATTGTTTTTAGTTTGGAATATATGTCAAAACTTTTGAGGCCACTGTTTGCTCATTAACTGTTAAGAGCATATCTATGTATAAAAACTATAAGAGATTTAATATGTTCTGAAACATGTAAAATTATGCTCATACTCACCTCAAGACTATACTGGAACAGGTCAAGAAGGACATGATAGAATTGTGTCAACAAGGTCTTGACATGAACAGAGATTAGATCACACAATATATCTAAGACGGTAACACCATGTACTTGATAAGTTTAGTAGAGTAGTGAGGGATTGAGAAATGTCAAGGATGAGCCATTCAAAGGCTGATAATGACTGCAGTGGCGCTACATTAAGGATATAACATTTAACTCCTATATTGCCATTGCAAATTGATTGTGTGTTAAAAAAATTAAGAAAGATTCAATTCCTTCAATTTGAAGGAACAGTTTAAAATTTTCTGATAATGCACTCACCCTTAGGATATCCAAGATGTAGATGAATTTGTTTCTTCATGGGAGCAGATTTGGAGAAATGTAGCATTACATCACTTGCTCACCAATGGATCCTCTGCAGTGAATGGGTGCCGTCAGAATGAGAGTCCAAACAGCTGATAAAAACATCACAATAATCCACAAGTAATCCACACCATTCCATTCCATCAATTAACATCTCGTGCAGTGAAAAGCTGTGTGTTTGTAAGAAACACATCCGCCAAGATGATGTTTTTAACTTCAAACTGTTGCTTTAGGATAGCATATGAGTTCTCTATTCATATTATTGCTTTCTCCAATGAAAAAGTTATCTTGTATGAATAAGGAGAGAAATATGTACAGACATTATTTGACGGACTGGAGTCATGTGGATTATTTTGATGTTTTTATCAGCTGTTTCGACTACCCATTCGGTACCCATTCACTGCAGAGGGTACAAAATAAGTATCAGAAGAATCACTAACCTATTAAGGGTGCATCGACAAAACTGTAATGTGAGCAGTCCAAAATGCTCTTTTTTTATTTATAGATTTCTTTATTTTATTCAAACTGACAGTCATCTATAAAAGGCTTGAAATAAGATTTTTTTCCAAAACAAGTCATGCATGGTCAGAGTGACTTCACAGATTCCAGCTTATTTTACAGATAAAGGCTGCTGTAATTGTGTAACATGGAAACATCGCACTATACTGTTGTTTCTGGACTCACAACCTCACTTTCCAACTTAGGCTGCCAAAACATCCCATGTGGTTTATAACCAGTTGAAAAATGCTTCTTTTTAACTATTTCTTCTTTTTTTAAATCCTTTGAAATCATTTTGTTTATTCAAAATCAGTTTATTTTCCCAGCACAACTAGAAGCATTGTGAACAAATGATTTCCATAATGACCTTCAGTTTCTCTTGAATTAACCAAAAACAAACCTGCATCTAGAAAATTAATACAATTTTGTCTAATGAAATCAAATCTATTCCATTTATTCTACAATAAAACAGTTCAAAGAGGACAACAGTGGACCACACATGTCCATCTCTGCTTGAACTTCAACACATTTGGAATTGTCTTTGACAGGCATATAAAAAGACTTGAGATGAATATCAGACTAGTGTCTGACTAAGTCACTAGTATTTGTACAAAAACTCCAGTTTTTCCTCAGGAAACAGGCAGTTACATTTTGGTCTCACTGTCAGGGATCTTGGCATTCTCACACTCGCTCTCCTGAGAGATGAGCTGATATGACTTCTTAGTTTCGTTCTCCTCCACTACGGAGTTTCCGATCTCGGGATCAGTACCATGCAGCTCGTGACGTGACAGGTGCTCCACAATGCCAGCACCAATGGAGTCGCCCAAAACATTAGTGGTGGTGCGCAGCCGATCTCTGAAATAGCAGATGAAAACAAACGGATTCATTTTCATGGTGGAAGTATGCTGTGCTTGGTCCAAGTATACCTCAACTTCTTATCAAAATCAATGGGGATGCATTCTCTGGTTTACACATCTGGATGTCACATGAGCCTTTGTTGTGTTCTGAGGGCCTCATGTAGTTTCCGCTTAAGAAAAACAGTTCCTCCATCTTGTGTGGTGTTTTTGCTGACCCATCTTTCCTTGTATAAAGGTTCCTCAGAGTCTGAGGCCTCCTCTAAGCCTCACAATGCCTCTTCTGTTCTGTACGCTGCTTTAACCAGCACATAATCTGACAAGGTCCCTGACTGAACTTGAATTCAGCAACTGCTGTTTTGCTCTGAATGCGGTGAGAGTAAAGGTTGCAAGAACATGCTATTGAATATGGGTGTATTGCTCAATGGGTCCAAAACTCATTGGAAGCAGATGTTGCATGACCATATACAATTGGATTATGGGTTATGGAATGTGAAAGATAGAATATGTTATGCTTACACCTGCAAACCCTGTGCATATGTTCGCGGAGGGGGTCTAGCGATATTATTTAATGAGAAGTGGAAAGTTTCAGATATATCTTTGCCAGAATATTCTTCATTTAAGTCAGTTGCTCTGCAAATTAATGGATCAATTCCTACAAGTCTTGCTACTGTATACTGTCCTCCTAAGTTCATTTCTGTTTTTCTACATGAACTTTTTGCCTTTTTAACTTATCTTTGTTCATTGTCTCCTAGTGTGATTTTGCTTGGGGATTTTAATATTCTTATTCATAATGCAGGTAGCACTATCAAATTTAGTTTGTTGTGCTTTTAATATTTGTTCTGACCAACCTCCAATTTCTACTCTTTCCACATTTAAACTTCCGAGCACGGAGGAAGTAGTCCGTTTTGTTCAAAAATCTAAATCTACTACCTGTCGCTTGGATTCTTTTTCCAACGTATTTGATTAAAGCCTGTCTACCTTATCTCTTCTTTAATTACCAACATTATACACTCTTTGCTTGTTTCTGGTATTGTTCCATCTTCACTTAAAACTGCTGTGATAACTCCTATACCTAATAAACCAGGGGCTGATTCAAGTAACTTTTATAATTTTCGCCCCATTTCAAATCTACCGTTTCTTTCTAAAATACTGGAAAGGATTGTTGTAGCCCAGGTCCAGGATCATCTTTCTGATAATAGTTTGTATGAGCAATTTCAATCTGGCTTTCATTCACATCATAGTGTTGAGACTGCATTAGTTAAGATTTCCAATGATTTATTGGCAGCTGCTGATTCAGGACTTCTATCTATACTTATTTTGCTTGATTTGAGCGCAGCATTTGATACTATCTCGCACAGTATTTTGTTGGACAGATTGGAGTCTATTGGAATCATGGGCACTGCCCTGACTTGGTTTCGATCTTATCTAACTTGGTACTCAATTTATACAGTTGAAGCAGTTTACATCAAAGCCTTCATATGTTACTATTGGGGTTCCGCAGGGTTCAGTCTTGGGTCCTCTCTTATTTATTATTTATCTTCTACCTCTTGGTAATATTTTTAAGAAATTTGGTATTCAGTTCCACTATTATGCTGATGACACCCAACTGTACCTGTCCTCCAAACCCACCTCTACTTTTCCTCCGTCTATCCACTCAGATTGTGTAGCTGAGATTAAAGAGTGGTTTACATCAAATCTTCTTAAACTAAATAGTAGTAAGACTATTAACTAAATGTTAAAAAAAACTAAATGTTCCTCAGTGAATATTGATAATTTTCCAGTGTCTGTCTCTAAACAGGTTAAAAGTTTGGGTGTTATCTTTGACAGTACTTTATTATTCAAAGCACATATAAATAGTGTATTTCGCTCTGTATATTTCCACATATGTAATATTAATCGTCTTCGTCTGGCTCTTTCAGTAAAGAGCACAGCGATCCTTGTTCATGCTTTAGTCACTTCACGTATTGATTATTGTAACGCTCTTTTTTTATGGTCTGCCTTCAAAGCTTCTCCATAAACTTAAGCTAGTACAGAATTCAACTGTACGATTTATTTGCAGAACTCCTATAACTGAACACATTACTCCCATGTTACAACACTTGCATTGGCTCCTGGTTAAATACCGTATTGAATTTAAAATCCTTCTCCTTAATTACACTTAATCTTACTCCTTCATACTTATCTGACCTTCATATCTACACTCCTACTCGCACTCTAAGATCATCTTCTGTACTCACTGTTGTTCTCCCTCGAATTTGCACAACTTCTATTTGGTCTCGAGCCTTTAGTCATACAGTTTATGGAACTCGTTACCACAGGATGTGCGAAATAGTCAAACTCTTATTGTTTTTAAATCTCGCCTTAAGACCCATCTTTTTAGGCATGCTTTTATGTGATTGCTTGTATTAGGTCTGTTTAGGCTGTAATAATTATTATTGTTGTTTAAGGTTGATTGTTTCAATGTAAGGTGTCCTTGAGTGTCATGTAAGGCGCCTATAAATAAAATGAAATGATAAGAATAATAATATTTTGCTGCTCAGCCCTGAAGTTCTGCCAATTCTCCCGTTCAGGGTTCCCACAGCTTTTGATCAATACATTTCCATGACTTTTCCAGTCATTCTGGATTATGAATGCTGATCGACATTTTAAAAAATTATATAGAGGTTCAATAGAGGTTATAGTCACAAAGAGCCATTACTAGCTGTTGAGGCCATTAAGCTTAACTTGGAGGAAAAAATGCATATAAATTTATTATGAATTATCTCATTATGAATATAATTTATATTATGATATAATATAAATAATATTTAATTATTCATATATTTCATTGTTCATATTTAATTATGAACAATAACATATTTAATTTAATTATTTTATTTTAATTTGATTAATTTTTATTAATTTGTATTAATTATAAATATTTTATTCATATTTTAATAAAACTTTCTATTACTTTTTAAGTAAAGTAATTTACACAAGGCCTGGAAATTGTTACAAACTGAACAAAATCTGAACAAAACCAGGTCTCATAATTCACCACATAACAAACTAAAGGCAGGGTAGGTGATTTGGTTCAAAAACATTTTTTCTTATGCTGGTTGAAAGTCTCCTCGATAGCAATCATTAAGGTAAGTGATCTAAATGTATTTATATCATCTGTGGAAGGTGTAGGACCATAAAATGTTTGTCCAATCATATCCCTTGATCCGAGGGCTATGATAGGCTGTCCCACCTGCCTGTCAGCGTATGTATTTGTATGCCTCCGTGCACCGTTGGCGCAGACATGATACGTCATCAGCACGTTCCATTATACTATTGCAGACCAAGCTAGAATGGAAGGTGTTATTATTGTAATATTATGTGCTTTGTACTGTAATGTTTTCTCACCAATGAGATGTGAGGTAATCTGACAATGTTGCATTCAACCCTCCACCAACGCAGTCTCTTATCGTGTAGCTGGTTAGCCTCTGGTCTGCCTGTGTGCGTTCATGTTTTGGAGAGTGATTTACAAAGCTAGCTTGCTATTGCTAGCCTCTCTGAAATCGCCTACCCTACCTTTAATAATTAATTAACCAATTAGTAACAAATTATACAACTACAGTAATTATATCAAACCTTACCTAGATACATACAGCATACTAACGTGTACTATATAGCAAATCTCAACAGGCTGATTGTTTAAATCGTCACGAAATGTAAACTATATTATTGCATCTGTAGCTCGATATACAGTAAGATACACAAAGTTGGATATACAGTATATTATATCAAACTTTATTCACATATATGCAGTACACTCAGGTAAAGCAATATAAACTATATAGCAAATCTTTACTGCATATTTATTTTTTTATTTTCGTCAAAAATGTAACTACACTATCGCCCAGCTCTTTATATAAAGTTATATAAGTATATATTAGTTTGTTCAACTTTATCCGCATACAGTACATTCGCATAGAACGAGTACATGATTACTTGAAATCGCAATCTGAAAATTCTTTAATATTTCTAGTTTTTTATAACAGTGGGAACTCTTGTCTGTTTGTTAAAACTGATGACTGTAGTTCTTCAAATACCTTCTCCTCTACCAGTTTAATGTGCAAAATTTAAGTACACATTGGTATGCGGGTTGATCAACATTTGTCATAATACTTAAAAAAAAAAAAAATACTCACAGGAACCAATCAACAGCGATAATTAGAGTGATGTCATCGGTGGGCAGTCCTACAGAGGTCAGCACTATCATCATAGTAACCAGGCCAGCCTGAGGGATTCCAGCTGCACCAATGCTGGCTGCTGTTGCAGTGATGCTTTAAAATTATACAAAGCATGCATTCAAAAATCATTTTTGGTTTCAGTCAGATAAATAATTTAATAGTGTGAAAAATCAACAACATTTAAGGCAAAACACTACAGGCAAAGTCAGTTTTTTTTTTTTAGACTAGTAAAAATATAACATCAAAAATAAATGTTTAAGTGTTTATTTTATTACACTATCTATTTGCATCTGTAGATTTTTAAAAGCTTTTCTCAAAATTCGTTTTTTCACGCACTGAGTCAGAAATCTCCACTTCAGCAGCACTCTATATAGTTTTTTCTGAAGGTTTTTTTTATTTTATGTTATTCCTAAAACAGTGGGGGTTTTTTTGTTTGTTTGTTTGTTTTCTGATGGTATTTTTGGATTTATGGAGAGATAAAAAAAAGACATCCAAAATCTTTCGTGAAAAAAAACAACAACAACAAAAAACAGAAAAACGATTTTTAAAAGCTTTTCTCAAAATTCGTTTTTTCACGCACTGAGTCAGAAATCTCCACTTCAGCAGCACTCTATATAGTTTTTTCTGAAGGTTTTTTTTATTTTATGTTATTCCTAAAACAGTGGGGTTTTTTTTGTTTGTTTGTTTGTTTTCTGATGGTATTTTTGGATTTATGGAGAGATAAAAAAAAAGACATCCAAAATCTTTCTTGAAAAAAAACAACAACAACAAAAAACAGAAAAACAAACTTTGAACCTGGCTTTATTCACTGTTCATATTTTTGTTCTGCAAATGTATGCAAATTAGTGCATTTTTAATTAGACAACACCTAATTTGCATATTTAAACATAACATTTCAGAACACTTGTAATACAAAATTTATAGTCTTAATGTACTGTGATTAATCAGCTAGGGAACTATGGTGATATTAGTTAAAATGTTTACCAAAATGTTTTATGGTGTCTTGCCTTAACTGAATAAATGTCCTTTTTTTGTCCTAACTGTACCTGATGGTTAGGATCTCTCCAAAGTTCAAATCCATGTCATTGACTTGTGCAATGAAGATGGCAGCCAGAGCCTCATACAGAGCGGTGCCATCCATGTTTATTGTCGCTCCAACAGGCAGCACAAAACGGGTTACACGTTTATCCACATGGTTATTTTCCTCTAGACACTTAAAGGTGATGGGCAGGGTGGCAGAGCTAGGGAGAGATAAATTGTCATCATCATGTTCAAAACTCGAAAATGTACACAAAAGGAAAATGTTGACAACTTTTTCCAGTGGCGAGTCACAACGGCCTGTCAAGATCCAAAAGGCACCAAAAAATAAATAAATGGTCCAAATGAGAACATATACGAACAGCATGTAGTGGGCGAGTAAATATTAACTAACCCTTTTAAGCATGTAGCGAAACTCTCATGCTCCGCTTTGCAGTAGCGTTACAGCAAAATAAATCACATTTACTTGTGTTATGAAAGTGAGTTCACGGTCTGTGTTTAATGTGATGAAATGTGTACAGCACCTGATGTCAAGAAACATCTTTCTGTTAAGTTGCCCTCGCGTACTGGGCACCAAAACAACATACTATGCAACCAGCATAATTCGATTCACAAACAAATTCACATAATGATTCAAAAACATACAGGGTGACAAACTTGATTTCCAAATCAATTACTCTTATGAGCCATGAACACTGGCTCAAGTTAAAGGGAAAGTTCATTCAAAAATCAAAATTACCCCACGAGTTAACCTCAAGCCAGTATGACTTTCTTCTTTCAGACGAATGCAATTGGAGTTTGCAAGAGCCAAAATGTCCTGGCTCTTCCAAGCTTTTTTTCAATAGTCCAATATAATTCCAATAAACTGCATCCATCCATCATAAAAAAGTGCTCTACATGGTTCCGGGGGGTGAATAAAGGCCTCCTGAAGCTAATCAATGTATTTTTGTAAGAAAAATATCCATATTTAAAACTTTATAAACCGTAAGCTTTCGCTAACTGTCGTACGTGCAATCACTAGAGAGTGGCTTTCCAGCGGATGACATAGGACGTAGGCGTAGCTTAATGTCCGGTGAGAATATGCCAGTCTCGAGAGAGCAAAGGAAGCAAAGTTTCTTTTGTTTAGCAAAGAAAAAACAGGGTCCTCTTAGCTTATATCCTCCAACATTTTTCTTTACAAACCTTGTTTTATACGTCTAATTCGTGACCGGTGTTTTGTTTTGCTCTCTCCTCTGCGCTGGATCATACCTGTCAACATTTGGGTCCCAAAATTCGGGAGACGGAATTTTTTGTATGTGTCGATTGTGTGAGAAGGATGCGTTTCATACAAGATCTGGCAACTGGGCAGCCTTGGAATTTGTTGACGTGATTATTCATATAGGCCTAATGAGGTTTGGCCCATACAAATTACGGGAGTTTTACCAGAGGCGAATGTAGCAAACATAAAATACTCCCAGTGGGATTTTTTTTATAGAAAGATAAAAAATGCGGGAAAATATTTAAACGGGATTGAAAGGTAAAATACGGGAGAATCCCGGGAAAAACGGGAGGGTTGACAGGTATGCGCTGGATGGATGCACTTTTTTGGGCTTCAAAATCTTAACCCCCATTCACTGCCATTATAAAGCTTGGAAGAGCCAAGACATTTTTAATATAACTCTGACTGCATTTGTCTGAAAGAAGAAAGTCATATACATCAAGGATGGCTTGAGGGTGAATAAATCATGGGGTAATTTTAATTTTTGGGTGAACTATCCCTTTAATGGATAGCTCAATAAGCCTCCGGTTTGAATCCGTTTGATGATTCATTTACTGAATTTAATTGTTGAGAGCGGCTACTGAATCAACATCTTATCATTATTTTCAGTGATATCCGTATCGAAATAAAGCAAGCTGTGTGGTAAATAAAATATATACATTTTAAATGTATTTACATTTAAAAGCTCACCTGGATGAGGTACCGAGTGCAGTGACAAGGGCTTGCAGAAGTCCAGCGATGAACACAAATGGATTTTTACGCGTCACAATGAAGTAAAGCGAAGGCAGTACGATGACTGCATGTATCAGTAGGCCAATGATGACTGTGATGGTGTACATGCCCAACTGGCCTCCCATTTCTGATATATCATCCATCTCAACAATTTTTCCAGCAATCAGGAACATTATGCCGAGAGGAGCGTACCTGAGGTGGGAAAACACATTAGATATTTATTACCGTTACAGAAAAAAATTGCGGAAAACATATACTTAAAGACAAAGAATGTGAACTTAAGTTAATAAAGTGTTTTTCTATGGTCATGTTTTGTCTCGCGGCACTTCAGACCGCGACTAAAATGTTCACAAATGCAACAAAAAACAATGTGCAACCGTTCAATTCATTATTCCATTATTTATTATATAAGTGCCAATTGTTTACTCTTTGCTCCAATTTCATTATGTTTCAACTGCTATTGTTTCAGAAAGTCTGAAATTAAAATCACAAAAACAATCTGGTGGGCCATGACTTGGTTTACCATATTTTCAGTGGTTTTCATGAATTAAAAAAAAAAACACTGTTTGAGAAAACCAAGTACGTAATGTGCTCAAAGCTGAAAACGTTCCCACTCTAAATCACTCACCACATGATAATGGCAACAAGCCTCATGATGGCCTCATTTAGACAGTCAAAGAAATCCCGTAGTGGTTGACCCTGTTCCTTCATGTTCCCAATGATGAAGCCAAAGCACATGGAGAAGACCACGAGTCCAAGCGCGTTGATTCCATTAACCGTTCCCAGCACTGGTATCACCTCTTCACGCTTGAGTTCCTGCGACCCGTTATTCAAACTGAACAATGTCTCGTTTACCAGAACTTTAACTGTGACCACTCGCTTGCCATATTGAGTTTTAAACTGAGGAGGGTAGAGAGAATAGAAACAGTTACTTGGTTGTGTTTATCATCTAGATTTTTAGTGGTACTTGTGCATCAAAAACTCAAATTAAAACATTACCTGTTGCGTACAAGCTTGCACTAAATTAGGAGGAAACATGTTTCTGTAAAAAAAAAAGGGAATATAAAGTTATAAAAGAAAAAAAAACATATAATAAAAATGTAAATTAAAAATGAACTTCATACCTGATGAGATCAAGGAAGGCATCTGCTGGACTGACTTGTTCTATTTTCTCCTGTTTGGTGAATTCGTCTTTAGAGCCTTTTCCCGGGTGGATGATGAGCACCATGACGATCCCGATGAATACAGCGATGATAGTGGTGGTGGTGTAGTAAACTACAGCTCTCACACCCATCTTCCCTGAAGCTCGACTGTCCAGAGCGGCCATGCCTGCACACAGGTGACGTCAAACTGCAATATTATAGTAATGCATACAGTGTCTATAGTAATGCAAGCAACAACATATTATAGTAGAAATACAGTGACAGTCAAAAGTTTGGACACCTGCTCATTCTACACTAGAGTTAAAAAGTTTAGGGTTCGTAAGATTTTTGGTCACACTTTAGTTTAAGGTCCAATTCTCACTATTGACTAACTATTAACTATGACTTTTGCCTCAATAAACTCCTAATTTGCTGATTATTAATAGTTAGCATGGTAGTTGTTAAGTTTAGGTATGGGGTAAGATTAAGGGATCTAAAATACGGTCATGCAGAATAAGGCATTAATATGTGCTTTATAAGTACTAATAAACAGCCAATATGCCAGTAATATGCATGATAATAAACGACTAGTTAATAGTGAGAATTGATCCTTAAAATAAAGTGTTAGCTATTTTTTTTAATGTTTAATGCTCATGAAGGCTGCATTTATCTGTTCAGAAATACAGTAAGAACTGTAAAATTGTGAAATATTTTTACAATTTAAAATAACTGTTTTCTATTGTAATATATTTTAAAATGTAATTTATTCCTGTGATGCAAAGCTGAGTTTTCAGCATCATTACTCCAGTCTTCAGTGTCACATGATCCTTCAGAAAAAATCTTATAGGAATATAGTGTAGTATGTAGTATAGAGTAGTGTAGGAATAATGTTGTGACCTCTCTTATATTTGAGTTTTTTGGCTGATTTTCCTTCACACTTCAGTCAATAGTTGTTTAATACACGTTTTTAAGGAAGTACAATGTATGTTTGTCTACAAAAGTAATTTAAGTAGAAGCTTTTAGACCAAACATAAAATCCGTCAAATTCAGTGTGTCTAATCTATTGATTGGTACTGTAAAGAAAGAAAGTCTCTACATTGATGCTCAACAACAATAGCTTGTATAGCAGTCAGACAGTATATTTCCTGAAGGTCACTGACCACGACTGCCATTCAGCATTTCTCTCTATAGGACTGAAACAGCCATTGTATTGAACTATGTATGTCTTCCATTATTATGTGTGTGTGCATGTGTGATACTAAGTAGTGATCTAACTGCCCCCAACCCCATAAAAACCCCTCAGCTTTACACCCCACAGTGGCCTGGGAACCTTCTGCACAGGTCATGTTCTTGTCCTGCTGCTCTCATTAGTTCTCGTCTCCATGGTAATGATGACTTCCCCTGCATGAGTCTTATAAAGTCTTATTCTCCTATACTGCAGAGTAATTACCTTACATATACACACACACACACAAACACAGTCTTCAAAGAGGAATTGTGTGTGACCCTCACAAAGAAACTGTCTAATGAGAGCTCACTCTCCGTGGCCATCAGCGAACAGCCAGAATTTACTGATAAACTTAATCATGTTCCATCAAGTAGTTGTTTAATCATATATTTAGAGCTCTAAACTGAAATATTAAACTGCAGCGGGTGATTTGAGTAATTCCTCAAATTTTGAAGAAAGGCTTGGTACTAATTTCTAAGAAACTGGGCTTATGATTTTTACATGGTGGACAATAGAGTGGGTGGAAAACCAGATTCAAACCATATCAAAAGGCCAGAATATCATAGATTTGAAGGTGGATTATATTAAGCAACCTAGAATCTCATTGACAACGATGATGGTTCTGGGCGTAATGATGAAACTGTCAGGATAAGTAGCTGAATTCAGTCGCTATAAAATAATTCGACATAATAATGTGAATCTGTGAAAATTAGAACTCTCATCCCACAAACTCCGATCTCTATCGTTAGTTTGATCTGAAGCTTCTGCATTAGCTCTCAACCAATGATTCACCGGAGCTCGCAAGGACCGCCTCCCTCATTTCCATGTTGCACACGGAAAAGTCAAAAGAAATAAATGAATAAATAAATCTGGAAATAAATACATGTGGGAATAAATAAATATGAAAAAATAAATAAATGCATGAATAAATAAATATAAAAATAAACGAAATAATAAGTAAAATAAAATAAAAATAAATGTAAAAAAATATATATATATAACAAATAAAAATGAATGTAAAAATAAATACAGAAAATAATACAAAGGAAAAAAGTAATAAAAAATTAATTCAGGATTAAATTTGATTACAAATTAACTATATTTGTTTTATCAAGTCATTTATTTCTTTATTAATTTTCCTCTTATTACATTTATTTATTTATCTATCTATATATATATATATTTATTTGTCATTTCTGCAGGTTTGGAGCTTCTGCATTAGCTCTCAACCAATGATTCACCGGAGCTCGCAAGGACCGCCTCCCTCATCTCCATGTTGCACATGGAAAAGTAAAAAGAAATAAATGAATAAATAAATCTGGAAATAAATACATGTGGGAATAAATAAATATAAAAAAATAAATAAATGCATGAATAAATAAATATAAAAATAAACGAAATAATAAGTAAAATAAAATAAAAATAAATGTAAAAAAATATATATATATAACAAATAAAAATGAATGTAAAAATAAATACAGAAAATAATAGGAAGGAAAAAAGTAATAAAAAATTAATTCAGGATTCAATTTGATTACAAATGAACTATATTTGTTTTTGTTTTATCAAGTCATTTGTTTCTTTATTAATTTTCCTATTATTACATTTATTTATTTATTTATTTATCTATCTATATATTTATTTATTTGTCATTTCTGCAGGTTTGGTCCTCCATACAGGCAGCCATTAAACAATGCTTCTCAAAGATCTTCAAATCAGTGTCACTGGTCGTCGCCTCTGAAGTTTGTCCTTGTTTTGGCTTTTACAGACTTGGTTGACCTGATGACATGCTATGATGCACCACACGAGTGTGTGTGTGTGGACTGAAACAGCCACACACATGTGACACACATGCCACACACAAACAACACGTGTGTGTGTGTGTGTGTGTGTGTGTGTGTGTGTGTTTATGTTTTGAGTGTTTGATCTGAATGGACCTCTACACTCTTAAAAATAAAGGTGCTTCACGATGCATTAGAAGAACCTTTTTGTCTAAATGGTTCCATAAAGAACCTTTAACATCTGAAGAACCTTTCTGTTTCACAAAAGGTTCTTTGTGGCGAAAGAAGGTTCTTCAGATTATAAAAAGGTAAGAAAGAGATGGTTCTTTAAAGAACCTTTGACTGAATGGTTCCTCTATGGCATCGCTGTGAAGAACCTTTTGAAGCACCTTTATTTTTAAGAGTGTACTGTGTCATTGATGTTCAGCCTTGTGACTGTGCAAGTGAGAGCAAGACCGAAACAAACAGCGTACATCTGAGAAGATCTTTAAAGACAGCTGCTATTATATCTGTATATCTGTTGCAATAAGTCAATATTAAATTAAAACAGACTCTATTTACTTAATACACATTTCTGGTCCTATGGTAAAAATGGCATTCCAAAGTCAACATTACTCCAAAGAAAAAACAATTTGTTTTAATCATCCTTCATCAAAATGTAATAATGTGCTCCACCTCTTTCCTTTTCTGAGGAAATCATGAATATCTTTTACTTTTTAACCCCTTCGCTCCATTCTGGTATGTAACAACCACTTTTCACAATCCGATCAATTTCTGCTATATAAAATCAAGTCCTGCCATAGTTTTTCTTGTTGAATATCATGTTTCACTCATGTTAGTGAAATGACTCGTGAATGCTTCTTCATGTGGACTCATGTGGTAGCATAAAAGCAGTTCAAAGAACTAAAAGCATTGTATTTTTATTCTATATAAGCTGTTTGTTCCATAGGCAATCCGTAAAACTGCACAGCAGCCATCAATCTGCCTGGAAACTATATGCAGCTTTATTTGGAAAGCAGCAAATGCTATTTATACAGAAAGTGTGTGTGAGAGAGAGAGAGCTGACTGAAAGGAGCTTTTGTTCATTTCTCTGTATGGTCACTTTGACCTCTGACCTCTTGTCTGTTTGGAAAGTGAGCATCAAAGCACTGACCTCACACACACTCTCACCTGCCCCCCTTTTCTTAAACGGGTTGAACTGCTTAGAGAACCTATGTTAACCTTCCTTAAGATTTATTTTGAAGCAAAACAGGCCTAGAAGCTGGACTAGCCTTGTTGAAGATCTCAAAACGAACTGAATTCTTCTTAAAACTATTAAATTCTTAAGCGTATATGGTTTTGGTATCTATAAAATCAATTTGCAAATACATTTACAGCTGAAAAAACACAATTGCTTCAGCTGCATGAGTGACTTTGAGCCTGACCAGATTAGATTTGGCCCGTTCCCTGCATCATGTGTTTATCTCAGACTCATGCAGTTCTGGCTTTAGCTGGCAGAGTTGCCCATGTCTGGTCACTGGTCAGTGCCTGGTGGTGCCGCAGCGGCCCGTACCTGTGATTAAACTGGACACCAGCAGGGGGAGCACCAGCATCTGCAGCATTCTCATCAGCAGCTCTCCAGGAAAGGAGAAGTACTTCACCTCTCGATAGGACATTTTATACGGCCGCAGTCCGAATCCCAGAATTATACCTGCGAGAGAAACACATGCACCTTTAATTGTTCTGTAAAAAATACTTTTTGCATTTAGCATTTTTTTAGCTGGAGTGTTTAGTTTTATACGGCCGCAGTCCGAATCCCAGAATTATACCTGCGAGAGAAACACACATGCACCTTTAATTGTTCTGTAAAAAATACTTTTTGCATTTAGCATTTTTTTAGCTGGAGTGTTTATGTTGTTATGTAACATGTGTTTATGAACTGAAACAGAAGAAGAAAAAAAAGAATGTCATGATTGTGAAATAGTCTAAGTATGTTGTACTGTGTCAGTGCTAAAGTCAGAGCACAATACTGTCTGTGTCAAAACAAACTTAAGAAAAGCTAATGGAATTTCTGTCACAATTTGGAACCAATTATAATGTTATCCAAAGAGAAACATAAACATTATTTAAAAAATAAAAAAAAATTTAAAAAACACACATTTCCAGTTCATCATATTGGTTCCAAATTGTGACCCTGGAGCACAAAACCAGTCTTAAGTCGCTGGGGTATATTTGTAGCAATAGCCAAAAATACATTGTATGGGTCAAAATTATAGATTTTTCTTTTATGCCAAAAATCATTAGGATATTAAGTAAAGATCATGTTCCATGAAGATATTTGGTAAATTTCCTACTGTAAATATATCAAAACTTAATTTTTTAATTTGTAATATGCATTGCTAAGGACTTCATTCAGACAACTTTAAAGGTAATTTTCTCAATATTTTGATTTTTTTTTTTTTTTGCACCCTCAGATTCCAGATTTTCAAATAGTTGTATCTCGCCCAAATATTGTCCTATCCTAACAAAAAAGCTTATTTATTCAGTTTTCAGATGATGTATGAATCTCAATTTCGAAAAATTTACACTTGTGACTGGTTTTGTTGTCCAGGGTCACAATTATCATAAAAATTCAATTTAAATGTTCATTAATGAAATTCTTTAATAGTATTCTTTACGATTTTTTAAAAGGCTGAGGTTCAGTGTTTTGTTACGACATCCAATGTGAAAAAAAATACAGAAAAATGAAATCTAATATATAAGATGTTGAATATGATGATGGCATATCAACATACTTGCTGAATAATGCTGTATGACATTAAATATGTTCCCTGAAACATTAAGCAATTCGTTGAAATTAGGCAGATTAAAGGTGGGGTAAGCGATTTTTCAAAAACGCTTTAGAAAACTGATTCGGGCCGAATAGCAAAACAAACTTGTAGCCAATCAGCAGTAAGGGGCGTGTCTACTCATGATGTGGAGGAGAGAGCATTCAGTGCATGGGACGGACATTAGCCGAGCCGAGCGACAGAAAGATAGAGATGGCGGATAAAAAACAAAAGAGGAAAACGTCTGCGGAACAAAAGAAGGCTTATGGCAAGAAGTAGGACCCATGTAAATATAGGATCAGCTTTCCAGCACTGGAGACAACTCAAGGAGCGGAAGGCCTGCGATCGGACGCCGAGGTTGCTTTGTTTCTTCTCGATAGGTGAGTAACACCGTGTCTGCGCCGCAACAGCTAAAGTTTGTCGCGCCGCGCTGCAACAGCTAAAGTCTGTCTACACTGGACGCGACAAAGCGACAGTTGAAAATAATTTGAAGTTTGTGGCATCCAGTGTAGACCATAGATATGTATATATATCTATGGTGTAGACAGCATCACTGATTATAATGAGTTCCATAGTATTTTGTCGCGCCGCGCCACTCGCGTCTGGTGTAGACACGATGTAACATTGGTTTTGCTTTGTTTCACAGAACTAATCGTTGCCTGGGTTGCGTACGTATGTGTGAGGCAGAGCTATCAAAATAGGGGCGTGTTTGTTTTGGTGATTTCAAATGTCAACATTGGCTACCAGAAATCGCTTACCCCACCTTTAATCAGCCATTATTTGGCCATTTTGAGATTCACAATTGTATATTTTCAACATTAATAGTTTTTTTGTTTGTTTTTTTGTTTTTAACATTAATTAATTTAACATTAATTGTTTTTTTGTCTTTATTACGAAAGGACAGTTAGTTGACAGGAAGCGAAGTGGGAGACAGAGAGGGGTTGCCCAAAGTGCAATGGCGCTATATATATATATATATATATATATATTATAGTTATTTTATGCAATGTTAAAATTATATTATTATAATAATACATTTGTTTTTTTAATTGATAAATAATATTACATTTAACCCATATTATATAACATTTTTAGCTTTATATTTAATTGCATTTTTATTATTTATTTTATTCAAATATAATATTATATTCTAACCCATTAATTTTTACTTTTATTCAATTGTTTGCAATTTTTACTTTATATTTATTAGCATTTTTAAAATGTATTTATTTTGATTCAGTTACAATATTCTGTTGTAAATCTACATTTGTGTGTGTTTTTCCCTTTCAGAGTAGTAGGCACACACAATCATCTCAACATCAACATCATCTCACCAACTATGACGGCAAGGACTGTGAGGATGACGAAGGCATTGCGCCTGAAGCAGCCTTTGACGTCATCAGTAGTGATGTTCTGTACGGTGTTGCGCGCCCGCTGTGAGCGCTCTGTGATGCCGTCCCGCAGCTGCTGCACTCTGCTGCGCTGCAGACGCGTCTCTCCGTTACTCTGAGTCATGCCTGGAGGAGGCGCCACACCGGACACACCAGACACCGCTGAACGATTAACGGCAAACACTCCGCTTCAGGTAATAACTGCAGAGAACAACATGCAGGTAACCTCTCTAATACAATATCCATCTAAGTAATATCTCGATTTTTACATTTTCTGAAGAAAATGTGAGTGCACCGAAAACAAAATTGGTGTCGAATTTACATTGAAACAATTGTCACAATTACTATAGTAAATTTCACAAAAAATTACAATGAAACAGCAAGTAACATTGAATTAAACGTGAAATTTTAGAAAGTAGAAATACTGAAATAGTATTTTCTTGTAAAAAAAATAGTCGTTTACAACTTCATAAAATCATTTTTACAGCGTAGTGTTTATCGTACAAAAATTGCCGTCACAGTACTAGGATGTTGTGAGGAGATGCTATTGTGTTTGCATCACTACACTGTAAAAATGATTTGTCATACTCGTAAAAAAAACTAAAACAAAGATGATTGGAGTACGTTTTATAAGAAAATACTATTTCACTCTTTTTTACTTATTGTTTTAATATTAGTGTGTTACTTGCTGTTTCTTTGCAGTTAATTGTGAAATTTACTAGCAATTTCTGTGTGAAAATTGTTTCTATACCAAATTTTATTTATTTATTTTTTTTTAGGGTAGGTGTTTGCCAATCAAAAGAGATTAAGTGATCGGATTGGTCTAAGGAACGTTTTAGCTTGCTTTATCATGCACCAAGTAAAAACCATGAATCACATCTTGAAGAAATGTAATAGCACACTTCTCCTCAACAGACCGCAAGATTTGATGTATCAACTGTGCATGCCATATAATAATAATTAGGCTTAGTGGTTTGTTCAGATCACTAACCTGAAGTATGAACAACAATAATAATGATGCTTGCCTAAAACTAAAACACTTAAAACAAATCTAAACTGTAAAAAAAATATTTTTCACTGTTAAAAAAAAAACGCTTATTGGAGTGCATTTTACAAGAAAATACTGTTTAACCTTTTCTACTTCAAAATTTTACATTTAATTCAATTTGTTACTTGTCGTTTTCTGTAATTATTTGTGAAATTTACTAGCAATTTCTGAGTGAAAATTATTTCTACACCAGTTTTGTCTTTTTTTTTTTTATTGTAATCTAAATTAAATTTGTTGTACACTCTTAAAAATAAAGGTTCCCAAAGGGGTTTTCGCAACAGTTCCATAGAAAAACCATTTTTGGTTTGGTTCCCAAAAGAACCATTTTTTCATAGTGTGAAAAACGTTTGATAATCTAAAGAACCTTTTTCCACTATAAAGAACCTTTTGTGCAATAGAAAGGTTTTATGGATGTTGAAGGTTTCTCTTGGAACCACTGATGCTAATAAAGAACCTTTATTTTGAAGAATGTAGGATTTAAATTTTTGGATTAGATTTTTTAGATAGATACACATCCAATGTATCCAAATGTAGGTTCTCTTCACCAACTAATGTTAATTTGACAAAAAGTCCCTCTCAGTCAGGACATTAACTTCTCATACCATTTGCACACATGCAGCATGAGTACTGCTGCTATCTTTCCATGCGTGCTAGGAACACAGCCAGACCAAACACTGCTACTCTCCCTCTCACACACTTGGAGACTCACATGGTCTGAGAAAACTCCCACATTTAGAACAACTACAGACAGTTACTCACATCACAATAAGGGATTCGGTCCAACCCTTCCTATGATGAAGATCCTCTGCGCTGAGAGCCTGGAGAGAAGTATGTACTTAGAAAGAAAATCGCAAGAGTTTGGAAGGAAAGGACTGCAAGCATGAAGGGTGTGAGTGAGAAGGACAGGGGAGAACCAATAGTGGAGGGAAGATGAGAAGGGGCGGAGCATGTTTGAAAAAGAGAAGCTCTTTCACACACTGGAGAGGAGGAACTGCCAGCTCGACTGTGGGAGGGGCTTTGGAAAGAGCTCCTCCCACTTTAAATGACGAGATGGAGGGAAAAGCATGTGTTTGTTTTCAAGTAGGATCCACATGGTCTGAGACCACTCTGTATGAAAAATTACGAGGAAAAATGTTTTTTTTTTTTACAAGGTGTGACAAAAAAACTAATTTGATCACCTAATATGAACATCTTTGAGATGCTCTTTGGATTGTTTTCAAGTTATCCGGAACATGATAATCAGGTCTTGTACCAACTTGTTGGTTCTACTCCTAGTCAGTTAAAATGATATTCATAACTCATTTCACTCGCATAATCTGACATATTGAGGGCAGCAAGGTATTCAACAGAAAAACAAATGTAGGAGTGACGTGATTTTATCTATCAGGAATTGATTGGCTTGTGAAAGATGGGCATTACATCACTAAATGGAGACAGGGTAATCTGATCGTCAAAGTTGTGGAGCTTGTTTTTTATAAAAAGATAAATTGATAAAAAGAGCTAAATGTTTTATATGTATAATTTATGCATAATTGTAGAAGTTTAGCAGTGAAAAAATCCATGTGCTGTGTGAGCAAACATATAAATATATTAAATATAAGGAAATGTCCTTAATTAAAAAGTTGTTTGTTTAATACATTTTAATTGTTTTAATGAAAATCAGAGACCTGACTGAGCAAACATGAATTATATTTTACATTGAAAAAAAATGTAAGTTGTTCATTAAAGAGTTTTATAAAAATGTTTATATGTAATACATGTTTATTGCTGTAAAAAAAGTGGCTTATATAAGCAAACATTGCATATAAAATAATTTTTTTAAAGTTTATGAAATAAGTTTTATTTATTTAATTATTTATGTAAGACATGTTCATTAACAAGTATTGCATAACATTAAATATAGTTTACATTTTTTAAGTTTAAAAAACTTTTTTCAAATTTTTTTTATTAATATTTTTATTTATGCAAGTAATACATGTTTATTGCTGTAATTAAAAAACTTGTATGAGTGGCTTGTATGAGCAAACATGAAATATATTTAAAATATATTTTTTAAAAGTGTAATACATATTACTTTTTTGAATGCTTTGGTAATATTGCGCTATTCTACAGTCATGCCAATAAAGCCCATTTAAAAAATTAACTGAATTTAATCTAATATGATTTAGTTTTTAATACAGTCCATGTTTTCTTGTGTTTCTGAAAACTTTCTGTGTCTTTGCCAATCCATTTTATTATTTAAAACCTGCAAACGAGCAAAATGGGATGATATATGACATTGTGTGGTTTTGTTTTTGGCACCGAGTGACTGGAGTTTGCATCGGCTCTCTCTTTTCCAGGAAGTCAATGCTTCATCATATGTTCAGTGAAATGGGAACCTCACAGAGGAACTGTCTGTGCTAAGAACAGAACGTACAGGTTAATGTGACAATTAAAAATAATTACAAACTGTATTTGAATTGATATGAATTTTTTCAGACTGATTAGTGAGGAAACACTGGTGCTTTAAAGGGACAGTTCACCCTAAAATGAAAATTCTGTCATCAATTACTCACCCTCATGTCGTTTCAAACCCGTAAGACCTTCGTTCATCTTCGGAACACAAATTAAGATATTTTTGATGGAATCTGAGAGCTCTCTGACCCTGCATAGACAGCAATGCAACTGAAATGTTTCCAAGTCCAGAGACGTAGCAAGATTATCTGTAAAATAATCTCCAAAATGGAGCTACAGGGTGATGCGGAGACGACGAATTGTTGAATAAAGTCTTTCTTTTTTTCTTTTGCGCACAAAAAGTATTCTCGTAGCTTCGTATAATTGCGGATGAACCACTGATGTCACATGGATTATTTTACAGATCTCCTTGCTACGTCTCTGGACTTGGGAACATTTCAGTTGCGTTGCTGTCTATGCAGGGTCAGACAGCTCTCAGATTCCATCAAAAATATCTTAATTTGTGTTCCGAAGATGAACGAAGGTCTTACGGGTTTGAAACGACATGAGGGTGAGTAATTGATGACAGAATTTTCATTTTAGGGTGAACTGTCCCTTTAAGAAATTTGCACAATAAAGAGTGTTGGAATAGTTAGTGTGTGTATTCTCCTGTGTGTCTCCAAATACTCAATGTTACTTTCAACATCTTTTCAGCAGCGTCGGCCTCACCTGGAGAGAAACTAGCTCAGGTGAGCAGAATAACCCTGAACACAGTGTCTGCTAAAAGCCCTAAAGGGGCTCATTACAAGAGATTGGGCAACCCTGAGTGCCATTATTAGTTATTTCGCAATAACGTTCAGTAATGGTGGTATCAGGTGATTCTACAATGCTCAGTAATGGACATAAAGTTTTAGACAATTTTAGTCAAATGTAAGACTGCTGAAGCGTGTAATCTTCGCATGTTAAAATACATTTTTCCTACACTTTTAAGTGGGTTGTTGGTTAGTTTCCCTGAAAAATTTGGCTCTGAATTATTTTATTTGCAATTAGACGACTCATGTCAACTGGAAAAGGTGCAACACTCACTCCTCAAGAAATACAACTTTATTGGTTAAAATACATGCAACGTTTTGGCCATTATCCAGGCCTTCATCAACAATCCAATTAGGTGACTCAGAAATTACACACTTCAGCATTAATATATGAGGGTGGAAAATTATCCTGATATAAATTTTTGTAACAAGTAAACATTAAAAATGTATTTATCATTACTATTATTATTTATTTACATGTTTTATTGACCTTTATTTTATTTAAATACATTAAATACAAGACTAAAAACATTGAATATGAAGTAAATAACTACAAAACTTGAATCAGTAAATACATGAAAATCAAACAAAACTGTAATCTAACATTTGACATAATTTCATAATATTCTATTCAAGGAATGATGGTCTCTCTATGAGCAAACTAAATGTATATTCATTTTTTAAAAGTTTTAAGACGTTCTTTATTCAAGTTTTCATTCATTCATTCATTCATTCATTTATCCACCCATGTAAGTAATACATGTTTATAACTGTAATAAGAAACTGTGGCCTGTGTGAGTGAACATTACATTTAAAAAAAAAAAGATGATTTATTAATATGTATTTATTATTATTATTTATTAACATTTTATTTACATCTATTATTTAAATACATTGAATAAAAGACTCTACAAACACTGAATATGAAATAAATAACTACAAAACTTAAATCAGTGATTACATGAAATTCTATAAAGCTGTATAATCTAAACATAAAAGCCAAACAGTTATTTACAGTGTATTCTAGCAATGTTTATTCTGTTATATCTTATGTTATTGAAGTTACCCATAATAAATTAACCATATAACCATAATTGTTCAGATTGTTATTTTTTCAGTTAATTTGTTTAAATAAAGTATCTGACATAAATGGACATCGAATGCCACTTTAAAAAATCGGTGTAAAAAATATTCGGTTCTATGGTGGTAAAGCTCATCAACTGTAGGTAGAGGGGTGAACACAGGGTTAGGAAGTCATTTTGATAGAGTTTGCCATTGTAAAGTGTTTTGAGGGACCCATACAAGCACACAGCGGGTCAGGGGCATTTTGGGAAATGACAAAAGAGGGACGTCTGAATTAGGAGTTGAGTAACTTAGAGTTTCCATAGAAACACTGGTTGGGAGCGACAGGCAAGACTGGGAAACATCTGCTTGTGTCTGCTTTCTGTTCAGCTTTTGTTAGTAAATGTAGACGAGAAGAACTACCAGTTAATAGTAGTTTCATAGCAGAATTTTCTGACTCGTTTCAACAGCATATAGCAGATAACATTGGTTTTTATAGATGTTTTCCTTGTAGGTGAATCAATAAAGTGAGGTTAAACTAAGGTAAGAGGTGGGCTTGCCTGTTTTAGGGCAGGGGACGTATGGGAAGTGTGACATCATTGAAGAGTGAGTGTTTATCTGCGGACACATGACTTCAGGCGAACGCCAGCTCATTTTGATTCATGATGTGTAATAAAAGCCAGGAATCTGTCAGATTAGTCCGATTACAGTCTCACCACCACAATAAAATAACAAAAAAGAAAAATAATACAAATTTTTTTGAATATATATATATATATATAATTGTTTAATAAACAAAATATTTTAAAATATATATTTAAAAATACATACAAAACATTAAATATTAATATAAAGCAAAAATAAATCATTTTAAACAGAATATAGAAAAATAAATAGAACATATTATTATTAAATTATCATATTTTATACGATTAAATATTAAAGGTTGGCACTCAGAAACTATCACAACAAAAAAGAAAATTAATACAAATATTTTAAAAATATATAGAATATAAAAACTATATATATATATATACACACACTCATGAAGATTTCAGATGCAAAAACCTCTAAGTCCGTCTAAGTCCAGCCAAACTATGCACCAGAAGTGCACACTTACACACTGTAAAACCGAACAGTGAAATTAATTAAATGAAATGAGTTAACTTCACTCAAATAATAATGAAAGTTAACTGGACTTAATTGAAATAAGTTCTGTAAATTTAAAATGTTGTTGTAGTAAGGTGAACTTTTTTTTCATATGGATGCTACTACTGAAAGAGGAACATGTATGATGGACACTCTTTGGCTGCTTTCTGCAACATAATCTATTGTAACTATTATTAAACATTTTTGTTAATTGAAATAATGCTGAAAAAAATATAAAACTAAACAAAAATGAGAAATGTTGCCAACTAAGTTAAGACATAAATAGAAACTAAATTTAAATTCAATTTAATAGGAATATAAAAAATAAAAAAAACGAATAAAAATGACAAAAGCACATAACAAAATAACTAAATATTAAACTAAAATTAAAACTGAAAATATAAAAAATAAAAGCTCATTCAAAATATTAATAAAAACGAAACAGTGAAATTACTAACTAGAAATAACTAAAACTGAA